TCGACCTTGTTTGAACTAACACCTAACTGGTCCTTGGCCATAATTAAACATGGGTTATGTTCGACCTCGTTCGGATTTACACATACTGGCCCCCGGCCATAACCAAATGAAGGTTATGTTCAACCTTGTTCGAACCAACACCTACTGGCCCTCGGCCATAATTAAACAGGTTATGTTCGACCTTGTTCAAACTAACACCCACTAGCCCTCGGCCATAATTAAACATGATATGTTCGACCTTGTTCAAACTAACACCTATATACCTACCAACCTCTGGTCGCCACTCGCCATTAAGTGATCCCGGCTACAAAATCAATGCAGCCAAGCGGCAGAATAAAAAACATACAAAAACGAACCATTGGAAGAGGATCAGATGCAAATATCGAAGTTGGCATTTAATACTTGGAATATTTTTTACATAGGCTCATGAAGATGCCACCAACTACACACAAAATATACAAAACGTCAAAAAGAAAATTACTGGCCACTGCCATCACGGCCTGTGACATCCTCACCAACTTGGCCCTCGACAACATCGCGCCCTTACCTTCAACACCTTTGCCATTACCACCCTCACCCTCAAGATATGCAGTGTCGTACCATGCATTCTGCTCAAGCTAGTCTACACCTTTATCCCCTTTGTCGTCGCCGGCCTTCGGTGTAGCGGGATCATATCCGCAGGTGACCCGAGCCTCACGGGCCTTAACATAAGTATCTTTGAGGGCAGCCTCAGAAACGAACCTCGTCGCGTGCAAATCTTGGAACACGTCTAACTGGGCCTCGGCATGGATCCACTCCTCGTACAACTCTCGAGGAACATCAGGAAAATCCGAAGTATGGGAGGAGGACGCTTGTGCCACTAGAAGGGCCTTCTCGTCTTCAAGAGAACCGATTCGGTCGTAGAGGCCAGAAGTCTATTCTCAAACTCTCCAATTCTCTCGCCAAGTTTCTCTTCTCGGAGCTTTGTCATCTCCAAATCACATTCCCGCTCAGAATGGAAAATCCGGATCACTACCTCAAGAGCCTTGGCTTTTCTTAAAGCCTTTGACTGAACCAGCTCAACCTTCTCAAGATCTTCTACCTTCTCGAAGACCTCGCCATTCAGTGCACCTGAGCTTGGAGATCAACGCACTGGGCCTCAACCTCTTTACTAACTTTGAGCTCTTCCAATTTTCCTTTTAACGTCCCCTCAAGGACGCTGCACTTCTCAATAACCTTCTCCAGCTCGTCGTCTTTTTCCTTCAACTCATCACGAAGGGCCTGTAAGTTGCTGCCCTGGCCAAAGCGCCTGTGAATCTCCCGATACTTGCCGCGATACTCGATATATTTACGCTCCAACTTCTTGAATATTTTGTTATGCTTTTTCTCCCTGCGAGCTCTTTCGATCTCCAAGATCATGGTTTGCATCCATAAGAAAAAAGAAAAGCAAAAATGAGAACGTCCCCACTAAAACAATACAAATGGAAAAAAAGAAGCCCTAAAATACTCACCCTGAGGGCAAGGCCGGATATACTCCTCGACAGAGTAAAATCGTACAGTTCTCTGAGAGTTACACCTTCTACGTCGGAGCAAAGAGGGCCTAGGTAAGGGACCACGTCCTCCGTGTTCTTTAACAAATCAAGATCCATGGGAATCGCGATGGTCCTCGTGGACCCCTCTAACCTCACCTCGAGTTGGGTGAACCCTTCCTTTATCAACCTCAGGCCGGCGACATTAACATCCGATCTCGTCTTATAATCCTTTTTGGCAACGCCTTTTCCCCTCCCATCGACTGGCAAAGAAGTACCATCGGGTGGTTGCGAAGTCGATGGTCCCTCTTGCCACAAAAGATCAGGCACCCCCTCAGCCTCCGTCATCATAGAGGGGAAAGACACACCTTCATTGGCCCTTGCCGATCGTGGAACCTCAGACGCCACCTCGATATCATCCTCAAGAATAATGGACACCATCTCATGAAGAATAAATTCATCCATCACAGAGTCCACCGCACGAGCGACCCGGTCGCCAATATCCACCGATCTCCTCTTGCGAGGCATAAAGTCTCCTCCACCAGGCAGTGATTCCTCCTCTTCATCCACGAGAAGGTACAAGGGGAAAGCCGAAGGTTCCGCTACCAAAGTATTCGTAGTTAGAAGAATTGATGCTGAAGCGGCGGATGGGATCCAGGGGCGAGTAAAATCAGCCGCGGTCGTAGAAGGAGCAGAAGCCGATGAGGCAACAGTTTTTCTCTTACGGAATGCAGCTGGGGGAGCTTTTGGCCTACTCGAAGACCTCCTAGCTGAGGATAAGGAAATGTAGAAAGGAGCAAAAGTCAGCCAAATAGAACCCAAAGAAGAAACTGACCGAGAAGCTTACAATAAAGGTAACATACCAATCGGAGGAGGGTGAGGGCCAAACCTTTTGACAAAGCCTAGCCATTCGTGTATCCCCGTAATGTGAGGAAGAAGCTGACCCACCCAGTCAGAAATATCATCAATCAAAGGAAGAGGAGAGCGTTTAGCTACACAAAAACGGGCGAAAGGTTGATGTCAAAGACACACACGGTAAGAAATCAGATGGTCAAAAATAAGAAAGTCATGAACTTACGGGTACGGTTCCAAGCCATAGGAAAACCTTCGACGTTAGCCACCACATTCACGATTTTCACAAAGAAATAGTTGAGCCGAAATTGGCGATTAGCCTTATCATCCATCTTCAGCACCAAATATTTGCCCCCTCGGTGGCGAAAATTCAACATCGTCCCCATGTAAAAGCTGGGGGCGAACAGGTGCGCCACATGGCGAAGCGTGAGCTCGACCCTGGCCAGCTCCATGAACTTCGTAAGCATTCACAGAAGTTTGTAAACGTATGGCGTGGGTTGAGCCGGGCAAATGCCGTAGTGGCGACAATACTCCTCCGCCAGTAGAAGGATAGGAAAAGTATAGCCAACGTAAATGGGGTAGCCATAGAAAGCACAGTACCAGGGCGATGAAACTTCACCTCGTCCCACCCAGCGGGGATCAACTCAACGTGGTCAGGAACGCCGTATTTAGCCCTAAGCTCTGTCAATTCATCCTCTTTTATCAATGATTTAAAGCTTCCAGGATCAGGCAACTTGGAGAAGTCAGACCTAACATCAGGATTTCGAGAAACTATCTCCTCCACCATTGGAAAACCTTCGTCCTCAGCGGCGTTGGTAGAGTTCCGCGTATGAGGAGGGAAAACCATCAACAAAAGAACCGCATTGATCCCCTCGCTGGATTCAGAAGGAACAATAGACATATTTTCACGAAAAAGAAGGAGACGCCGAACACAAAAGTAGTAGAAACGACGAGGATCCCTAGAACAAGAAAGAAAGCTGCACAGCAATGGGAAGAGAGGAGAATATAGGGTTTCGATACCAGAGTTTTGTAAACTTTGAAACTACATCCTCATACCCCTATTTATAAGGATTCAAGAACCGGAATCGAAAAGTCACCTCATCATTATTTGGCACTGAAATCGAAGCGGTAGGTCCAATCAGGAGTCACACGTGAAATAAAGCAATGCCTCGGGAACGTACTTCATAATGACGCAAGTCATTGTGACGTCATCATGAATCACGGGTGATATGGTATCAAAAATTTGTGGCCCACAAAAGGCCATGTTGGCTACTGTGCGTCAATCATTACCACTTACTGCCCTGCCAAGTCATTTTTTACCATAATGGATATAATCTGCTCATCACGCCCGCCCAAGGCCGGTCACAAAAGCGAGAAGACTAACTGTATGGGTCAAAATAGCACTGCAAGAAGGATCTGCATATCGTCATCTAAAGACGGTCATGAAGTCTTAATAGCCGAGGTCGATGAGGGTCAAGATCGAGGAGTAAAAGAGAGTCATGGTCGAGTCATCGACGAGGATCACAATCAAAGAGTCGAGGAAGGTCGTGGTCGATCATAGACGATAGAGCTGTAACGGCTAGTTTTTAAAGTTAAATTAAGAAGGGACTATTACAAGACTATCCCCTACATTTGTACTATTAGGTTTTTTTGGGAAAAAGTTCCTAGATAAATAGGAGGAAGAAAGAGAGAAAGGGAATATAATATTCATTTGTAAGAATATATTTTGAGAAAAAGATTCTCTCTCTTACTAAGATACAAACAACACATTTTTACTAAGATTCTCGTCCACACTATTCACGACTTTCTAACAGATCCAAGGAGAAATCCAATATACAAGGATCTGTCTGTCATTCATCATTGTCGGGAGAAATAACATTTATTTCCTCCTTTATTGGATGAATCATTCATTTATTTACTTGAATGTCATTTATTATTGCTCATTGTTATTTAATTCTCCATTTCTACTCATGTGACCTAGAATGATTGTTTCATATAATTATTATATTCCTTACTGATCTACCCACATAGCCACATTTCTTAACTTACATCTAGAAATATTATTATTAACTAGGTTTAACCCTTCAATATATAAATTTAATTATTTAACCCGGGAACTATATTTTTTGGTCAAACAATTTCAAAAGTGAAGTCTAATATTTGTAAATACTCTTGGGTGATACTTTCCATCTTCCGGGATGTACGCGTTGATGTTTTATTGAGGCAATGATTGGTCAAGGTTACATACTACAAAACTGAATTTTAGAGTCAGCATATGTGCTAAATAAAACATAGGTGCTAAAACCTATTGTCCCTGATTTTTGAGTAGTACAGGGAGAAATGATACTATATTATTCATTTCTTATCACTTCACTCAATAGTTCCTATATAACATAAAGCACGTAATTAGATGTGTATCTAGGATTTGGAAACGATGGATGTACTACTACAACTTCGAAATAAATTCAGCACTCGTTATTAGAGATGTCAATAATTTTTTGAAGACCGAATAAATCGAATGTTACCAAAACTGATTTAGTTTATTTTTAATAAGTGGATTCCAATATAACTTTATAACTGCAGCAAATAATAAGAAATTTAAATTTAATTTTATAAAAAGAAATTCAAAAGACATTGAAATGAACCGAATGAATTTGTAAGCATAAAATATATTTTATGTATCAAGTTTGAAAAAAATATCGAGGCATTAAAATCTTTTAACATGAGCCTTGGACGGCCTTGGGGTAGATTCAGATGAAAACAATTACAATTAACATCCCAACCTACTTTACTACTATTGAAACTGAATTGGTTCTGATAACTTTCAGCAACAAGCCATTAAGGATATTTTCATGTACATTTTACCCATGGGTTCCCATGTAAGCTATGAGTCAATAATATCATCATATATACACCGAGCTTTGTTTGAGAGGATGGGTAAACTTGTCCATATACACGTAATCATTCTACGACAATGGTCTAGTTGGAGCTTCCAATGGCAATGGCGCCTCTGTGTTCTCTAACAAGGGCTCAACAACTCCTGCCAACCTCTCTCTTATTTCCAATAATCTATACTTTTTTACAATAACAACCAATATTCCCGAGAGAGCAAATATTAGAAATACCGATGAAATAGTCCACATTTTAGAGTTGAACTTTTGATGATTATGATCATCGGCAGTAGGAGAAGGACTCGGGGCAATTCCATCAGCTGTGGGAGAAGGACTCGGAGCCATTCCACCAGCTGTGGGGGAAGGACTCGGGGCAATTCCATCAGCTGTGGGAGAAGGACTCGGAGCAATTCCACCAGCTGTGGGGGAAGGACTCGGGGCAATTCCATCAGCTGTAGGAGAGGGACTCGGGGCAATATTATCAGTTGTGGGAGAAGGACTCGGGGCAATTCCACCAGCTGTGGGAGAAGGACTCGGAGCAATTCCACCAGCTGTGGGAGAAGGACTCGGGGCAATATTATCAGTTGTGGGAGAAGGACTCGGAGCAATATTATCACTTGTGGGAGAAGGACTCGGGGCAATATTATCAGTTGTGGGAGAAGGACTCGGGGCAATTCCACCAGCTGTAGGAGAAGGACTCGGAGCAATTCCACCAGCTGTGGGAGAAGGACTCGGGGCAATTTTATCAGGTGTAGAAGAAGGACTCGGGGCAATATTATCACTTGTGGGAGAAGGACTTGGAGCAGTAGGAGGAGGAGTTGGAGCAACTTTCACCTCAGCAACTATAGCAAAATGGCCTTGTATTCTAGTCTCACAAATATTTCCATCTATGACATTGCGAAATTCGACCCAGTTATTGGAGTAGAAATAAACACATTTGGGCAAAGATCCTTCTGGAGCAGGCTGCACATAAGGAAACCTGATGGTGATAGGATCTTTGAGTGCTAAAATATCTAATTCGGGTACATTTTTGGCATACAAATCATAAGCATCATAAGCCAAGATACCCAGAAGCGGCGTTAGATAAGTGTAACCAGGCAAAGGATAATAAAAAGAGGACCAATTAGCCAAGTTTTGGTAAACCAGAACAAGTTTCCTTGCATATGGCTTCTCAATGATACGAGATGGGATAAAAAATTCTCTATAGTAGCCATAGATTTTCCGTTTTAAGTTGTGTCGTCTAAGCATCAAGGCTGAAAGTCTAATTCCTGTCAAATTGCAGGGGACAGATGCATCATAGGGAACACCAGTTCTGGCTCTTGGCCAGGTCAATTCCCTGAATGCATATTGCTGAAGTAAGGAATCAAGTGAGCTTTTGGCATATGAGTCTGAAGTAATTGATTCAGATCCAATCACAACAATAACAAGAAACCAGAAAATTATGTTGATATAACCTGCTGAATGCATCAGAATAAGAGAAATGTTTATATACTTGAATTGAACTATGAAATTTGGACAAAAAGGGAGCTAAAATGAATGGAATTTGGAATAGGATGATAGAAAATGGAATACGTGTGAGCTGCAGATCTCAGGAAAGAATAAGTGGGGAACCACTAAATGAGGCCACGGCTGGTCAAAAGTCAACCTTTTGGTTTGTGGGCTACGCTGTTTGGGTTGGGCTTATTTATTTAATTAATTAATTAATTTTCAACGTGCTTATTTGTTTAATCAGTTCGTTGAGTTTAATTTATGTTCGTTCTTCAATGTATATGTCTACACGGTCAACCAAAATTAGCTGCAATATCATGCAAATGCTTGCAACAGGTTTGATCTAATCTATATATGTGATGACCCGATAGGTCATCTAGAGTTTTAAAACTTAAATTTATGCTTCGAAGCCTCTGATAGCTTCTTAAGCCTTTCTCAATTTGTGTGCGCAGTCTGGGTGTTTTTCCGGAAGGCTTTTATGTTAAAAATTAATAAAATATGAAATTTTGCCTTAAAAATCCATATGAGTTGACTTTGGTCAACGTTTTGAGCAAACGGACCCAGATATGTATTTAGACAGTCCCGGTGGGTCTGTATCGTGATTTGGGACTTGAGCGTATGCTCGGAATCGAATTCGGAGGTCCCTAGCTCAAGTTATCGCTTTTTGCCGAATTTGAAAGTTTGAAGGCTTGATGAATCTAAAGGTTTGATCAATGTTTGACTTTATTGATATCGGGTCTGTATTTTGGTTTCGAAACTCGGTATAGGTCCATTACTATATTTATGAGTTGTCTTTCAAATTCGGTGAGAAACGAAGTTGGTTTGACGTGAATCGGACGTCCGGTTGTTAAAATAGAAGTTCTAAAGTTTTCTTAAATTTTTCATTTGATTTGGTGTCCGATTCATAGTTTTAGGTGTTATTTTGGCGATTTGATCGCACGATCAAGCTCCTATGATATTTTTGGACTTGTGTGCATGTTTAGTTTGGAGCCCCGAAGGCTCGGGTGAGTTTCGGATAGGGCACGGAGTGAGTTTGGACTTAGAAAAATGTAGCTGGTCTTCTTCAGTTCTGGTGCAGGCATCAGACCTCGCAACTGCGACGTCAGGCTTCACATTTGCGATGAGGCTGGATCACTGTCACATTCGCAATTGCAAGCTATTTCCTCGCAATTGTGAAGAATAGCTGGGAACCACAGGTTCGCATTTGCGAACAATTACTTCGCAATTGCGAAGTGGGACTGGGGGGAACTTGTTCGCATTTGCGATCAATTGGGTCGCATTTGCGGTATGGCCCAGTTTTCATTTGCAAACAAATCATCGCAAATGCGATGATAGCATAAATGTGGGGACTTCGCATTTGCGAAGAAAATCTTGCATTTGCTAGGTTCGCAATTAGGTCGCAATTGCGAACCCTGCGCCTGGTCAAAAGCTGAGTTAGACGGGAATTTTCTCATTCTTTCAAATTTTTAAACCTAGAGAACCCTACAGGCGATTTTCCCAAGAGCCCTTCTTCCCAAATTCATTGGTAAGTGATTCTAACCTATTTTCTTTCAATCTTCCATTACATTTCATAAGATTTCAACCTAAAATCTAGGATTTTCATGGTGGAAATTGGGGTTTTGGGTAGAATTAGGGATTTTTGTAAAATTGGAACTTAGACTTCAAATTGAGCTCAGGAAATGACAGCAAGGCAATAAGTCAATGACAATAACTCGATCCTCAAAACTCAGTGAAACCAGAAGTACAGATTATCAAAGTCTCGCACGAAGGAACTAAAGTCAATATAGTAAAACAGGGGATACCAAAATACAAGATATGTTCCGGCGCGCAACCCGATCCCACCATATAATATCAATATCATAGGTCACCCTTATTCCACCATATCAATTCACCCTTATTTCACCTGTTGCGGCATGCAACCCAATCCTACCGTACAATATCAATATCATAACAATAAACATAATATGTTGGGGCGCACAACCCGATCCCACCATATAATATCAATATCATAATTCACCCTTATTCCACCATAATAATCCACCCTTATTTCACCTGTTGCGGCGTGCAACCCGATCCCACCGCACAATAACAATATCACAAAATAAATATCCTCAATTATTCCACCACCTCCCTTATTTCACCTGTTGCGGCGTGCAACCCGATCCCCCGTACAATAATTTAAATCAACAACAACAATTCAATAACTCTATTTTAAGAATTTCTACAACCAAGAGTATGAGTACACGGTAACAAGGGAACCACGTAAAATATCAAAGGAATACAACAACATTTACAAAATAACAAGACATGTAAGGCACGTGATAACTACGCAGGTAATCACAACAACTTGGGCACGTAGCAGTAGTCATAGAAGAATTCAACCATTAAGAGGTAACAAGACAATAATGAAGGCAATGACTACAACCAAGGCATATAAGGGCCAAATAACAAATAAGAGGTAAATAAGTTCTAACCACATCATATATAGCATGTAAGAGTAGTCTAACAACGAGATACCACATGTTATGACAATTTAATCAAAAGCATGGAAAGAGGCTAGAGAATCTAAACCGGTCAATACCACATATAGGCTATGTACCCGCTCGTCACCTTGCGTATTTGGCTTTCACATAACAAGAGAACACAATTAACTCAATTCCTAAGGGGTGGTTTCCTTCATACAAAGTTAGACAAGATACTTACCTCAATTCAACCAACTCAATACTCAATTTAGCTTTTCCTTTACCAACTCACCATCGCTCGGCCCAATCTAGCCAAAGACGACTTAAATACATCAAACAATGCAAGAGAAAATAATTTCAATTAACAAAGTTATGATCCTTATACAATTTACAAAAAGTCAACAAAAGTCAACTCCCCGGGCCCGCACCTCGGAACCTAACAAAATATACAAAACTGGAACACCCATTCCAATACGAGTTCAACCATACAAAAATTATCAAGTTCTGATACCAATTCGTTCTCCAAATCATCATATTTCATTTTTGAAAGATTTTACAATTTTCCCCAAATTTTCCTTTAGATTCTCATGAATTTGATGTTAAATCTAAGATATAATCACAAAACATAGTTGAAAATTGATTAGAGGCACTTACCCAATGATTTGATATGAAAATCCTCTCACAAAATCGCCTACTCTCGGGCCTAGGGTTCAAAATATGATAAAATGAAGCTAAGATTCGGAATGCCCAACTTTTAGCAGGCTGCAGATGTCGCATTTGCGACAGTGGGTTCGCGAATGCGAACTCGCAAAAGCAAAGAATCCTTCACAAAAGCGAAGCATGGAACAATCTTGCCTTCATCGCAAATGCGATAGGGAGTTCGCAAATGCGAACTCTGTAGGCTTCGCAAAAGTAGTACTTTCTTCGCAAATGCGACCCAATCCCTAGCAGCCCAGGTTTGCAATTGCGATGAATACCTTGCAATTACGGTAGTCGCATTTGCGGCCAAAATCTCGCAAATGCGAGAAAACCAGAACCAACACATAAAAAGTTAACAAAACAATACGAAACTAATCCAAAACTCACCCGAGCCCCTGAGGCTCCAAACCAAACACCCACGCAAGTCTGAACACATAACACGAACTTGCTCGTGCGATCGGAACACCAAAATAACCTCTAGAACCACGAATCGGATGCCAAAACACATGAAAATCACCTTGAACTTCAAGAACTTCTAGAATCGCAACCAAGTGTCTGAACCATATCAAATCAACAAATGACAACAAATTTTGCAAGCAAGTCCCAAATGACATAACGAAGTTGTTCCAACTCTCGAAATCGCATTGCGACCCCGATATCACCAAAGTCAACTCTCGGTCAAACAATTCAATCTTATAAAAACTTCTACTTTCCAATTTTCGCCAAATTGCTTCAAATAACCCTACGGACCTCCAAATCCAAATCCGGATGTACGCCTAAGTGCAAAATCACCACCCGAGCCTATCGGACCCATCCAAACTCCAATCCAAGGTCAAATACTCAAAAGTTAAATCTTGGTCAATTCTTTCAACTTTAAGCTTCTCAAATGAAAGTCTCTTCTAAAAATCCTTTTCGAATTTCTCAAAAACCCGAACCGATGATGCACGCAAGTCATAATACACTGTGTGAAGCTACTTGTGACCTTAAACTGCCGAACCGGACGCAATTGCTCAAAACGACCAGTCGGGTCGTTAGATCCTCCCCCACTTAAACATACGTTCATCCTCGGACGTGCCCAAAGACATTCCAAAGCCATCAAACCACTGCATGAGCTCACCATTGTCACACCTCCTTTTTTACACCACTCGCCGAGGGTGGTATATAAGGGAGTTTTTCCAATTAAAGTGACATTGTTCGAGATGGGATTATTTAGTTTATCAGAGTTGCCACTTGGAATAAATTATGGTGTTCCAAGTCACCGGTTTATTTTAAATCCCAAATCGAGGAAGTTTTATTTTTAAAGAGTCTGCGAACCAGAAATTCTAGGTAAGGAATTCTGTTAACCTGGGAGAAGGTGTTAGGCATTCCCGGATTCCATGGTTCTAGCACGGTCGCTTAGTGAATGTTACTTGTCTTAAATTGTTTAACTACTCATTTTTAGGACCTATGTGCATTTATCTTTTTACCGCTTTTAAATCACTTGAATTATTCGTAATTAAAGAATTGAGTTACGCGTGCGTATACTCTTTTCTTTTGGCGCGTCAAAACCATGTCACGCGAACGTGTCCACGATTAATAACGCTTTTGTTGATTTATTAAGAAAGTTTGGTTGAAGTTGCGCGAACGCATCCCTCGAGTCTTTTTTAGAGTTAAATTTGCAATTATGTTACGCGAACGTATACATAATCGCAATACTAATCTAAATCGGGCCTAAAGCAAACTACGATGGTTCAAATTAAAAAGAGGTTTGCGAGGGCCATGGAAAAATTAATAATGGCACACCTCGATCTTAAAGAGTTATTACTAATTATACAAGGGCCATGGACTTAGGGGTTTTGTTTATCATGGCACACCTCAAATTCACAAATTTTAATTAAGTTCATAAGGGCCATATGTAATGGGTTTTAAAACATGGCACACCTCAAATGGTTTTTTAGAAAAAAAAACTTATTCAATTAAGGTCACCTAGGATATTCCTATTTGAGTCTAATCTAAGCTTAACCAAGGCAAAACTAATTATGAAGGGTATTAATTGTTTTGGGACAAGGGAAATGGGCCAGCAACAGCCTGCTATTGAATCAGCTTCGAAAGCTGAAGTTTGGGCTCACAATTGGCCCAGAAGTTAGAAGCCTAAAATTCAATTGCTGATTCTGA